AGCAATAGTGAAAATCAGACCTGAAAAAAATTCAGGCCTGTACGGGATTCGAACCACTGACCTCTGCGATACTAGTGCAGCGCTCTACCAATTGAGCTAACAAGCCAACTGGGAGCAGGCCATCAAATTAATTCGACATAAACCCGTAGATGATAAATCAAACAACAAACATATGAAATACATATATATGAACTGCGGTTATGAAACGTATATGTGCACGATCCTTCGCAGTAAAGCACTATTTAAGCAATAGTGAAAATCAGACCTGAAAAAAATTCAGGCCTGTACGGGATTCGAACCACTGACCTCTGCGATACTAGTGCAGCGCTCTACCAATTGAGCTAACAAGCCAACTGGGAGCAGGCCATCAAATTAATTCGACATAAACCCGTAGATGATAAATCAAACAACAACAAACATATGAAACATATGTNTGTCATCTGCTTCGAAGATTCTATGCATTTTGCTGTAGTTGCGCCATAACTTCATCGGTCAGCGGTAATACACACCCACTAGTACTTTCGCTCAGGAAGCGAAGTGCTGAATTTATCTGATCCTCGAGCACGAGTTTGGTGTACACTTTCGATTTATCAGGTGGATCTGTAGATCTGAGTTTGCCTATTCGACTTTGAATAATCCGACCTTCGCGCAGCAACTTGTTGATTTCCCCGGTTTTTCCACTGTACAAGACGTTTTGACAACAGCTCCTGGTGCTCTTTGGCTTTGGACTTGGGACCAGGCTTCTGAAGGCCTACTGCAAGGAGCACAAAGTTAGCACCGTTATTCCAGTCATTAATGTGCGACATTACTTGATCTATGAAGTCTCTGCCTGCGTTACCATAGGGGACGAGAAAAACATTTTTTTTCCAGGTCGCAATCTCATTATAGGTATCCGTTATGACTGAAGTCTGCAAAACAATCTCGCTGCCGTCTGTCCACTTACCCCACTTTATGTTTTCTGGTTTGCAGACACTAAGGTGGTCAGGAATGAAACGGAGTGTCGGAAAATTGTCTTCGCTCTTTATTGTCTGGTTTGGTCGTTCCTTTTCTTCTGGGCTATCTCCTGGGATTTGTTGCAACGAAGTAGTCGTATGCAAATCTTGACTCACTGTAGCATAATTAGCATAACGTGAGTCAATTTGGCTGCCCTCTTCAAAATTAAAATTTTGACCTCCATTTCTTTGATTTCTTGGCTCGAATTCTTTCCACAACTACTTCATAACCTCGATATAACCCTCTTTCTACCATTTTCATTACATGGGTTATCATTATTGCATTACATTCTCAAAACTTCAAAACATGGATTTGACTTTATTCACGATGACTTTGCTTGCCACTGAAAACTGGACAGAAATAAACTTTCTAAGATAAATCGTCGTCGACAATGAATGATATTTTTCACAAAATCACTCACTGTTTTTTGTGAAAATTTGTCGTGATAGATAGTCCTTTAACTCGAGTATTCAAAAGTGTACACGCGCCTTTTTCTTCGCTCTCAAACTGACAGGTGTCAGATTGTCACAGTTCCTTATAAAAAAAAAAAGATAAAGAAAAGATAAAAAAAAGCTTTGGAAACCTTTTAAATCACTTATCAAACACAACGAATACATGAAATTCATATATCTGAACTGCGGTTATAGAAGCGTATTTGTGCACGATCCTCGCAGTAAAGAACAC